CATGTTCTTTCCGATGGAGCATAATTGCCATAAGCTTCGAAAAGCAATTTATGAGCTGCAGCTGCAGTTTTTTTCAAGTCAAAGTAATGAAGCAGCACATGTCGAAAAAACAACTTATCACGTTCCATATTTAATCAAAAGAAAAAATAGCACTGCTCGCTTAAATGAATCTCTTCGCACTGAATTTTATTGACAAATGTCTAACCTCTAAAATGCAGCCAGTTTCAGATGTCAAAATAAATTACACCTACAACTAACGTCATCTAACTGTGAGCCGCAGGAACTAAGTTTACCACCTAATATATATATATATATATATATATATATATATATATAATGTTATACATAAATGTGAATTATTATTTAGAAAAAATGGGACTTTCTAAATGTAGTTGCGAATAAATTGCGAACAAGCTACTGATTTTGTATAAACCTTCTCAAAAAGTTGTCCAACAGACTTTATTCATCTTATCATAATATTATTTAAAAACTATTGAAAAATTTTGTAAAAGCAAGGAATCACTTTTCTTCAAAAAAAGAAAGTAATGAATATTATATAAGAAAGTAATTAGTGAAATAATGAATATTATACAGGGTATTTGACTAAAGACACAAAACCACATGTGAAGGCAAAGCACGAACATCTTTGGCATTTTGCAAACAAATAAAATTTGTTATATGAAATTTGTATGAAATTTCGAGATATTAAAAAAAGAAGATTAGTGAACCAGAGCACATAATGTGGGACGAAGTCTGTTAGCGTCATATCTCATCGAAAATAAATGAAACACGATTGTTTCTTAACGTCACGCTGACGATATGTCGAAAAACAATTGTCTCTGCGCCGCTTGCGTCCTTATTTCGCCTTCAGCTGTCAATCGATATCCATCCATGTTAAAAGTCAATCGCGTTTCAACCATTTTCCACGAGATCTTCCGCTTACACAGTCCGTTCCAAAACATTACAGCGTTCTAGTCAAACTTTTCTCATTAATGTCTCAAAATTTTACGTGATTATTTGCAAAATACCAAGAGTTCTCGTTCAGATTGACGTGCTCTACTTTCACGTGATTTTGTATATCTTGTATATCTTTGACACCCTGTATAAAAAATGTAATTAATAAAAGTAGCTGCTAACAATAGCAGAAGTTGCTATGAAAATATCTGTAAATAATACAAAACGTTAGAAATAAAACTTTAATTATTTACGGCTTTAATTATCTTCTTTTATTCAAAAAGAATGATGTTATTCACCAAATATACAGAGTGTCTGATAATTCACAGAGGAGTCGCAGTGTACAGATTAATTTGATCAAACAAAAAGATTCTCTACCATTTTGCGAACAACCACTTAAAATTTTGAGTTATTAATCCAAGAAAATTCATGAATGACGCTCTATACGGTAGATGAGCTATGATTGCGACGCCTGCTGCTATTTACGCTTATTTATTAGATTAAACTGAATAAAAAGGTTCTCCACCATTTTCCAAATGATCACGTAGATGTTTACTTATTAATTAAAAAAGTTTGGTATACAATTATACGTATTAATGCAAACATTTTTTTTATTGTTCGCAAAATGATAAAGAAAATTTTTGTTCAGTTTGACCTAATCTACCTGCACACCACGACTTTTCTGAGTGAGTTACCAGACATTCTAAATACAAATATAAGCAGTGGCGTAGCCAGAGGGGGGTTGAAGGGGCAGCCCCCCAAAATTAATTTTTTGAGTTACGCTAAGTGTGAGAAAAATTTTTTCGAATGACCTTTTTTCGCTCGTCAAAAATAAAAAGTATAGCCCCCCCCCCCCCGAAATTTTTTCAGGCTACGCCACTGAATATAAGTACATAAGTTTATCGCATTTTCAACTAAACAAATTTTAATTGATCCGATTAAAGTCGATTAATAACTTCATAACCCTTTGTTAATCAATCACAGAATTTATAATGATTGAACTTTACCGTAAATACTGGATTAATCAAAATCCGTTTAGTTGAGAACGCTCTTAGAATATACCACGCAACCAACTGAAGCCAAAATTGCGTTATAATTGCGGTACTTTGTTATATCAATCCAGGTAGACTTCCATGATTATCACACAATTGATGATGGAAACTTTAGCATTATTTTAAATATATTTATGAGACCGATATACTGTATTAAATTAATTATTAAATTTACATTATACAATGATGTAAAGTCCGTGTTACATCGATGCAGCAAGAAATATACTCAAAGTTACCCTCAGAATTTTATATTACATTTTGCATCAAAATTTTATATTACATTTTGTATTATTTTGAACAAATCTTGATAAATTTTTCATAACTTTTTCATATTTCTATTTCATTATTTTATGTAATAAATACACGTGCCATATGAACCACGTATGAGGAATGCTAAAAAATTTACAATTACCCGAGAAGAAATTGAATCTAGTGACTGTCTAGTAATGACACAGAAAAGTTGGGTCTTACATCACTACTAGCTAGAAATGTAACGCTCACTTTTCCTAGTGGCTGTACCAGGAAAATTATCTAGTAGCTAGATACAAAAAAATAACTTGTAACTATAATTGGTATAAGTACTAGACAGTTCTGATATCTAATTTCTATTCAGGATTCACCAATGATTTTCTATCTCGTTACTGTGTAATCTTTTTCATCTAGTCACTATCTATGTAATTGATATAATTACTAGATAGTCCTGGCATTCAAAAGACTGAGTAGGAATATTTAGCCAGTCATGAGCTAGTGACTGAAAAGTTATCTAGTCATTCCTATCTAGCTACTAGTCTTGAAATCTGCTCTACTAGATACATTTTTGCTCGGGAACATATTGATTAGTAAAGTTACTATCAAATTCACGTACACTCATCTATAGTATAGTATCTCTGGGTATAGTGGCTTTCGAATAATAAAACCCAGCCCCTTTTCGCGCGTCCCGGAGTACACGAGATTTCCGCTTCCGGTAATACCGGTGGCGATATCGGATTCGCGCGGGGCATACGCGCGCGCGCCCGCTCCGTCGTTTTAATTTAATAACAAATCGATATTTACCTGGATTTACGGCGTGGCAGTGGTGAAGGAGCGACAGCCAACAGAGCAACAACACCGCTCTCTGCATCTGAAATCATAATTAACGCATGTGAGCGCGTATTGCTTCCGCAGGCCGCGCCATTACCGCAATGGCATTACTGACTGGGTGAAAGCTTCAAGAAGTCCGACATCAAAATTACATTTCCTTTCGATCCGCGGACCCTGATGAATTTCGATCCGTCCCGAATGAAAGCTTAATAGAAGTTCTAATTACGGCAAAGGGCGGCGAAGCGGGAGAGAGACGGAGAAACTAACTGTGGGAATATATCGCGAGCTACGAGAAACTCATGAGGAATCTCTTCGCGCGAAGAAACAGGAGAAGGCAGCGCACTACAACCGCGGCGGCGGCTAGCCCGAACGCTAAACGAGCGAGGCAATCCTCCACTGTCCGTTGTACCGATAACAAATGAGCTCTGGGGCGTGTGCATAAGGCGCTTCGCGTATCCGTACGCGCATCAGCATGCGCTTCGCGGCGAGGGAATTCGCACGCACGGACGCTCGGCGCAAAGACAGCCGGTGCACGAAGCATCGCGCGGGATTTTTGTGGAAACGCTAAATGCGCACGCCGTGGCGTAAAGAGGACGATGAATCGCGAGCGATCGAACGATTTGTTTGCTCGATTCCAATCGCGCGAACTCGAGCTGTTCCATGTCCCGACGTCTGAAAGTCGCAATTGCAACGAGTACTTAATTAGTGTTTCCTTCTACTCGATTTCATTAGATTTATTACATGCAAAAGCAAAATTGATATCAGTATCAAATCGACATGGCATTTATTGCATTTATAAGGCGCAAAGAACGAAAAAGAGACTAAATATTGCTATTAGGCTATATTCAAGATATGAAAATAAAATAAAGAAAATGAATGAATAAGGCTGGCATTCTCTCTACTGCCTAAATTAATGTTTCATGTTTAAGGAATTTTTCATGTACATAGGATGTTTAAAACTAAAGCGCTCAACATATATAAGGTGAAATTTTACTTTTCTAATTTTTTTTATTTTGCCAAAATAAGTTTATGGCTCTGAGATCACGTTAGGCAGTTACTATTGCTGCCAACATGCTAAAAAAAGCAGCCATATTGTGACTTTCACGTCATATCGGGACAAAATCAACATTAATACAGGATATAAATAATGATGAAATTGTAACTTCAGAGTCATAGTAGGCTGTAGAGGGTTAAAAAAGTACAATAATCATGTGCAGGATAAACACAAAAAATTTTTTTAAAATACAAAAAGACAACAACACTATCCACTGTACGCTATAGTCAGTTGTACGTAAATTTGGCAACAATATATTAGTTGATTTGTTAAGGTTACATCCCTCATGAGCCATTCATACACAGAAAGATATTATCACTTTTCTCATATAAATTCTTTTCAATTTTACTATGTGACTAATATAAGGGAAAAAATAGATTGTTTATATAGAATATTTTGCTAAAGAATACAGTAAATTTTGTTAGAATTTTACTATGTTTCGCTATAGAAATATACACTCAGAAAAAATAGAAATTTATTTGTCTTGGAAATTTATTTATGGTATATAAATTATTCACAATCTATTTACTATCTATTCACAGAGAAAAATAAATTTTATTTTATAGAGAAAATTTTATAGAGAAATCCCAGACAGCACAAAATATTCTAAGAATATTCTAACAAGATGATTTTCATATGTTCTGATAATATTCGGAAAGGATATTCTTATATGGTTTCAAGAATGTTCTGAATATTATTGGAATATTATTTGTTATGTTCTCAGAATATTCTGTTAAAACAGCACAGAATATTCGAAGAATATTCTAACAAGATAATTTCTACGCATCCAGAAAATATTCGGAGAGAATATTCTTATATCGTTTTAAGAACGTTGTGAATTATTAGAATATTATTTGCTAAATTCTCAGAATATTCTAAGAACATTTTAATAACTTCACATCACCTAACATTGTAAGGTTACAAGCTTACACATTTTAATGATCCTAGATACAACAGAAAATCATTTTGACGTAATGATATCATTTTGACATTAATGTTTTGAAATTGTCATAAAAATGGTATCGTTTGACGTCAAAATGACATCACTTTTATATCATTTGACGTCATTTTAATTTTTATATAATTTTTATATAACTTTGTGTTCTACCTGCCTTACTGAAAAAATCCAGCTTAGATCTCAATTGAGAACTCAGTTATAGAGTAATTACTCTGTCAAAATATTGTGAGAGAGAAAAAAGGAATATTCTCTCTCTTTTGTGAGCATGTTAAAGTTTGATTACTTATATAACATTGTATTAATATTAATCGCATTGTGATTGTTGTTACATCCTTTGAAACATTTACCGACAAATATGTTATTACATTTTTGAACGATATATTGTAAATATAATCAACCAAGATAATGTTACAGTGCATTGGCATCACCAGTTCCCGCACGATCGCTGACATTGAACAGTATAGTCATTTAAAGATGGTGCCGTCTGACACAGGATCGAATCCACGCGAATCTCACGAATAAATAAAACAACACAAAATATGAAATGCAAGATTTTTTGTTATTTAGATAAAATAATACTTTATTTTTCACTAAGTGAAATTATGTAATATTATTGAGATATTGCAATATTACTGTGATATTGTATAATATTATGTGCTATGTGAGTAATATATTGTGAAGGTGCTTAGAATATTCATAAAATATTCTTTAGAATATTCATAGAACGTTCATAGAACGTGATTTTTTGTCTACTTTAAATGTTCTCTTGGAAGTTATTAGTAACTTCGAAGTATCATGTGAGAATATTCTACGAATATTTAAATATCCCCGATATTATTCTCAGAATGTTCATAGAACGTACTTGTGCTGTCTGAGACGTTAAATTCCATAAATTCCATAAATTAATTTTTAAATATTTTTCTCAATGTAGTAAACTTTTTTAGTACATTTCGGTTCTTGAAATATAAATAATGCATATAAAATAAAAGGATAGTTAATTGCTGCAGGATATCGGTTATATGGAAATTTGAATATAACTTTTTATTAAACTTATTGCTTCATTAATGCAAGGAAAAATTTACGTTTTTATATAATATAAATTTAAAAATCAATTCACACACACATACACACACAATATATACACACGCAATACACACAATATATAATTGTCCCAAAATTTTAAATGTAGCTCAAATTATCGAGTTTCCATCTTTGATTGTCTCATTTCGTGACAATCATGAAAATCTATTTGGATATTAATGTTATAATAAGTCTATGCAAACATTACCGATATTTTAATTTAAATATTCGCAATATGCAATTCAGCCACAGAGCGAAAGGAATAAATGGATGAAGAAGTACGAATGTTAATAGAGTGATAAATGTGAATTATACAAAATTTGGCAACAATATATGAGAAGAATCGTTCAAATTTTTATGTAAAGATAATACATAAGTAATAGTTCTATGTAAAGAATAAGATAATAATAATTGACGACGAGCTGATAATTACATATAGTAGAGGTATTTTTGGTATAATATTCATAAATAAAATTAAATAATTTTCTTACTCTCTAAATCTCTCGCAATGAAATCTCACTCAAAACAATCGAGAAGTAGCAATATTTTCACTCGAAACGATAATGAAAATTATGCCACTGAAAATTGCAATAGTTAATGTTTTATGCGTAGAGTAAATTTTAAGTCAACATGAGCGAATGTTTCAATCGATTGGACTAACTATATTCCTGTAACGGTAAAATATATCAGATTCACAATTTCGTGTGAAAATATTCATTCGACGATTCAGAAAGGAGAATTCACTTTATGTGAATAAAAAATCATTGAAATTCGAATAAGTTGATGATCACTCTACTTCTTAAGTAAAATTTCATTTCAAAAAATTGAGAGAAAGTAGAAAAGAAGATATATCTGTTTGCAGCATACAATAAAATAAGACAACTCAAATAGAGAATATATTTACGATAAATTTTCAGCCATTTTTTCACACGGAAAGAAGCGGAAGAAATAGCACGTATTTGTATTTTATATCACGAAAAACTGTGTTTTTATTATTTTCTTCGACATGATTTGTCGGACGAGAATTTATCGGGAAGGAGCCTCGATGATTTTATTATTTTTTTTTCCGCGCATTGGATGTTACGATGTAAATACACGGTAGTGCACACACCGCGAGCGAAATTAATAAAACGGAAGGAAAAAATCGTACGCCCCGACACGGAAATTACAAATTCAAACTCGCACGTTGCAAAATACACAGTTGGTATCCACGATTTAAATATCATTATCCGCCTGAAAACCAGCGACGTAATATCTTTGTGTCGATATGCAAATGGAATGCGCCAAATGTTGCGCTTGTGGGATACATCACGCGCCGAGAAAGTGTCGCGTATCAAAGTCAAATACACAAATAACTTTCAAACTAACGCGTCCTACGATGCAATTAAAAGAAAACATACTGCACAAATACACATGTTCATATCAATATTAAATACGACTTCTCTGCAAACAGGAAGCTGTTATCGCGGCAAATAGCCATTGGATATTGACGAACGGCAATCAATCTCATTCTGCGGCAGATACGAAATAGTCGCATGTACACGGTAGGTCGCGTTGGACCGAAATGTCGCTCAGGTCAAAAGTGCATCGGCGATTGCGGATTGTCAGACAACTGCTGGATACGTCAGGCAAGGTAGAATCGTCGATTAAACCTTGAGAGTCGGTAAGCTGCCCTAGTCTGCCCGCGATTAATATTTCATTACATGCCGGCGTTATTTCAATATCTCACTTAGCGAGACGCTTGAAGAGGATATGCATTTGCTGTAGCTTTCTGTAAAATATTTTCTTATCTTAGAAGTTACGGGCTAACCTTTTGTCACAAGCGCATGCATGCGTCTGAAAAATATTATCGTGTGAACTGTGGACACATGTGTCGCATCTGACAAATTCCTTCACAGACACATGTGTCTGACAAATTTCTCCGGCTTATATTCTAAACACAATAGTC